CCTTAAGGTCAGCAATGGTCCATCCTAAGGCCTTTTTATGTAATTTCAACATATCCACAAGTTTCTTTTCTTGATGCAATTCTAGGGTAGATGAGATAATGACAGGCAATTTGCCTTCTTCTCCTAGAAAAGCATATTTTAGATGGGATGGGAGTTGCTTTAACTCCAAATTAGGTGGTGATTCAATGGACGGGGTAAAGTATTTTTGTTCATTATTTTTTAGCAGCTCAAATGCTGCAACATCAACTGGGACAACATCAGTTTCTAATTCCTCTATTTCCTCAACACTTTCCTCTTCTATTTTCTCATCATACTCTCCTCCAACTTAAGGCTTTTCTGAATTCCCTCTTCCAAACACATCTCCTCTATCTCAAATATTCTTGAACACTTTTTCAAGTAATCAGGGTACTTTAGAGAGTTGAAGACATTAAAGGTGACTTTTTGGTCTTGGAGTCTCATAGTCAACTTTCCTTTTTGGACGTCTATCAAAGTTCTTCCGGTGGCTAGAAATGGTCTTCCTAAAATAATAAGAATGTCCTTATCCGCCTCAAAGTCTAGAATGATAAAGTCTGCCAGAAATATGAACTTGTCAACTTGTACCAAAACATCTTCAATTTTCCTCTTAGGATATGCTATGGACTTGTTGGCCAATTGGAGTGTGTCTGTGGTCGGTCTTGCCTCTCCTATGCCTAAGTTGTTGAAAACAGACAAGGGCATAAGGTTGATACTAGCTCCTAAGTCACATAGGGCTTTCCCTATCTCCTTCCCTCCTATTGAACAAGGAATGGTAAAACTCCCTGGATCTTTGAGTTTAGGGGGTATGCTATTGGTCAAAAGTGCACTACATCATTCGGTTAGGGCTATAGTCTCATATTCAGTCAACTTCTTCTTCTTGCTTGGGATGTCCTTAAGAAACTTGGCATAACTAGGCATTTGTTCCTCAACAAGCGGGATGTTGATGTGTAATTCTTTAAATACATCCAAGAATTTTTTAAAGTGCAGTTCCTCTTTTTGATTCCTCAACCTTTGGGGGTAGGGAACATAAAGAGGGACTGGTTTTATTACATTCTTACTTGGAGGTGCTGAGCAAGATGGGTCCTGAATGCGTTGGGTCTTAGTGGTGCCCTTTGGAGGTTCAAATGAAATTTTAGCATCAAGCTTAGGGGTCTCTAAAACCTCAATTTCTTTTGACGTCTTTAAGGCATCCTCAGGAAAGAGTAATGGAAAGTTTGATCTAGAGGGGACAGAAGTGGTGGTCTCCAATGCCTTTTTCTTTAAGGGTAGGACCGGTCTTTCTTTGGCAGGAACCAATGCTGTAGCATCAGCTTCTGTCAAAATTGGTGCACTATCTTTGGGCACTTTTTCTTTCAACTCCTTCCCACTCCTAAGGGTCACTACTTTCACATGTTCCTTACCTAGGTATCTAGGGACCTCTGTATTACAAGGCAAGGTAACAAGGGATCGATTGTTCTGGTTAAGCGCAAGTTGACTGACTTGAGTCTCTAAATTCCTGGTAGCCGCACTTTGTTGATTTATTAAAGCTTGGTTTTGTGCTTGTGCATGTGCAAAAAGTCCTTTAATCATTGCTTCCAAAGAAGATGATTCTGTCTGTGGAGGAGGTTTGTTCTGAAAAGGTGGTTGTGAATTTTGAAAACTTTGTTGGTGATTCTGAGAGTTAGAACTGTTTCCATGATGTTGTTGGAAATTAGAAGTTCCTTGTTGTTTATGGACTGGTGGGTTTAAACTGGGACTGTTCCGAGAAAAGTTCAGATGTTGCCTCCAACTAGCATTGTTTGTGTTGGAATAGGGATTAGCTCGGTTATGAACATAGTTTACTGATTCAGGATTGTGAGGACAGTGTTCATACGAGTGTTCCCCGCCATAGCACACACATTGCACAGATAGGACTGTTGGGACAGGTGTATTAGCAGCTTGTTGTCCTCCCTGACCGGAAGTTAAAATCTTCAACATGTTGGTCATGGAGGTAAGCTAAGCTGTTAATGCAGTATATGCATCTACATCAAGTATCCTGGCAGTCTTTTTCTGTGACTGAGCACGTGGGTCGGCCCAATGCCCATTGTTGGCTGATATTTTTTTCTAGGATTTCATATCCTTCATTATAGGTCATAGCTGTAAAGGCTCCGCCCACAGTCGCATCGAGCATTTGTTTTGCCATGGGATTTAACCCATTGTAAAACGTCTCGAGTTGAATACAGTACAAAATGCCATGGTGTGGCCATTTCCTCAACAGCTCTTTGAACCTTTTCCACACGTCAGGAACAGCCTCATCGTCCATTTGTTTGAAAAGACAGATCTTATTTCTGGACTTAGTGTTCCTTGTTGGTGGGAAATATTTTCGCAAAAAAAAAATTCCGCCATGTTACTCCACGACGGCACAGAACCCGGAGTTAACGAATTAAACCATGTTTTTGCCCAATCCCTCAATGAAAATGGAAATAAAGTGAGTCTTAGAGCATCATTTGACACTCCCGGGATCAGGAAGGCATCAGTGATTTCCATAAAAGATTTTAAGTGCGAATGTGGGTCCTCCGAAGGTAATCCGACAAATTGGCCATTTGTTTGCAACATGTGAAATATTATTGGTTTTAGTTCGAAATGGAGAGCGGTCATATGTGGTCTAACTATCCCGGAATTTAATTGCTCAAAATTCGGAATAACATAATCCATGATCCTCCCATTTTTGGAATTTGCCAAATTAATGATGTTCGGAGTTTGTGCTCTTTGGTGTTCATTAGGTTCCAATTTTGTGTCCAAATTATTATCATTACCATTATGAGGGTATCCTTGTTGAAAGTTCGGGAATGGTGGAATTGGTTCAAAACCCGACGGTTGGTTTTCCAAATGCGGTATTTCCGGAAAAATTGGGGGAGGTAACGCCATGTTTGGAGGGAGTAGAGCAAAAAAATGCTCTTTGAGCCCTCCTTCTATGGTGAAACGTTCTCTCAATATCGGGATCAAATTCGAAAAATTCCCCGTGTTGTGACCGTGGCATACACCACTTTTAAAAATGATTCCGATGGTACTAGAAAAATCAAATCTTTTAATTTACTCAAAATAAAACTTTAGCGAAGCAATCCCCGGCAACGACGCCAAAAACTTGGTCGGTTATTATTTCACACCTTTAGACTTAATGAAATTGGGCCACAAAGCAAGTATACAATACGGCCCAACGTCGTCTTTCCAAGTAATAAAGTGGTACAAGTACCAGATTATCGTCCRYAGAGATTGTAGCCAAAGTTAAATTAGAGTCCAATGAAAGAGATGATTTCAGATGACGATTTTGAAGACTTTTATTTGATTGTAAGGTGAATTAAAACAGAATACAGAATATATAAAAGAAACAAGGGTGTAAGACTTAAGGTGAGACCCAAACACAAATTCTAGCAGCCAATGTTATAGGAATGCTACAGCAAGCAGTGTTTCGAAACTAAGTTCCACCATCTATTTTGAAGGCATTCCTCTCNCAAACACAAATTCTAGCAGCCAATGTTATAGGAATGCTACAGCAAGCAGTGTTTCGAAACTAAGTTCCACCATCTATTTTGAAGGCATTCCTCTCAGACTTCACCATTGCACTATCTTATAGCTTTCCACCCATATCTCTATGCGGTGTCCGGACCAGGGATAGTGACACGATGGTGTTTTCAAAATATATGGATAAACAAAACTCTTTGTTAAAAATCACTCTCTCGAGTCGATTCCCATATCATTCGAGTTGGCATGTTCTTGATAGTTCGTCTCTAAATCTATCACACTTTGACACTTTTGAAGAGTGACCAACCCGTCGGGAGTTAAGTTTGAAAAACATAAATGACAAGTCTCCTTGTCGGCAACTTTCTCAAGTCTACCTCTTATGTCATCCAAGTTGACGTGCTTATTAATGGCTTATCTCTAAGTCCATCGCACTTTAACACTTTCAAGTGATCAACCCGTCAAGAACTGTGCTTGGTTTTATAAAAACTCGAATGAAGCAATGGAACGTCGTTTACGAAAACACTTAGCTACTTTCGTTCGGTTTGAAAATCTCACCTTTTCGTCTCACACCCAAGCTATAAAAACTTAGCTACTCATAACGGAAAGTAAAAAATAAATTACGTAAAATAAAGAAATAAACATAAATTGCGTAAAGTAAATAACGAGAAAATAAATGACGGAAATGTAAATGACGAGAAAATAAATGACGAGAATGTAAATTGCGAGAATGTAAATTGTGGAAATTAAATAACATAAAGTAAATGACAATAATCGTAAAGGAACGTAAAATAAAGAACGGAAAATAAAAGACAATAAGATTAATGAAGAACAAGATGGAGAACTTAAAAGATTAATAAAAACCACCCTTGGAGAGGGTTTATAATACTAGCTAATGTTTTTGATGGAGGAAATGGATACAATGGATGGAAGATGGATTAATGGATGGAAGACGAAGGCACCCCAAGCCTTCCTTTTATACACAAAAGGGGTCACCAAAAGACAAAAATAAAAGACTTGGAGGCTAAGCTTCCAAAAGCTAGTTACATAATAACAAAAGAGTAACTAAAAGGTACAATAGCCTAACCAAAGTCTAACATCATATTTTAACTAAAACTCAGCTTTTACAACTGTCTTCCACTAGTCAAAAAGTCAGCGTCTTAACCATTAAACCCTCCAAAAAACTGCACATGAATCAGATCGATGCTGCACCAATGCTGTAGCATCCTGTTGTTTTCACAAAAATTCTATATTAGCTTCATCCAAGAGTACCAACAAGTCAACCACAATATTTAGCTTCATAATAACAAATGTATAAAGAAATAAATAAAANAAATTCTATATTAGCTTCATCCAAGAGTACCAACAAGTCAACCACAATATTTAGCTTCATAATAACAAATGTATAAAGAAATAAATAAAAATGACTCAAAGTATGAATGAAAAGAAATTATTCTACCTAAAAAGACGTAAAACGAGTGCTTTATGTGTTAAATTATCAACACATATCAATCATCCTTGTCAGTTATAGTGTACATGGGTCGAACCTTGCGGTTACACCTCATGCAACCCATGTAAAACCAAGGGACATCCTTCCTAAATGCTTTCACCGTTCCTAATACAATTAGTGATTTCGCCTATATGAAGTACGCTATGTTACACTAAAATGAAAATACTAAATGTAAAGACACAATTTAAAAAAATCAGTACCTCAACAGTCTCGCTGATTTCAACAATGTTTGCTCTACTGGTTCTGTCTAAAAATCTTCACGATATGAATTAGACAATCCAATGAGCATTGAAATCTGTTGTGACGATTTAGATTTGCCACTTTCCCGAATCAAACGATTGAATTGGAGTATTAGTACACAACAATGTATATTAGGGAAATATAAGATATATAACATAAATAAATAATAAATAAAAATTGCGGACCTTTTCTTAAATTCCTTGATTTCATCAATGTGCGAATTTATGAACAACCTCGTACCATTGAATGAGTTCGAAAGAAATGGTCTTTCTGAAACAATCAAATGAAGCAAGTTAACACAACATTGCTTGAAAGAAAAATATATATTTTATGAATCAGACAAACCTCTGTAAATTTTGACCATTGCAAACTGAATAACAAGAATAACAATCCCCTTGTCCTTGTTAGTAGAAACATAATCATTCAATTCATGAGCGAATGCATCCCACAATGTCACTTGCATTTTAATCCCCCTAAATAAATTGTAAGAAAAGAATTATATAGTTTTTGAAGAACACTGCTAGTGAATTAAAGTAAAACACTTGCTCCAAATCCTGCATCTCAACCTGCATTCGTCTTTTGGCTTTTCCATTGTTATTTGGAAGAGTCACCATTGTCTCACAAGCAATAACTTCACCAATTACATCTATGAAATCATCAAAAAGTTAACATAACAACATCTAACTTCAATGACACTACAATATATTATTTATTTAAACAATAAAATCAATGTAAAATGATTTAATTCACTCACCAACTGCTGCAAGTTCTGGGATACTTTTGGATATAAGATTTGTAAATTTCACAAATGAGAAACCAAAAATGGAACCCTTAAAATCCTGGGAATTCGACACAGAAGTCTTATAATACAAACTTAACTTGTTTGTATTATCAATTAACTTATACTTCGTTGCAAGTCGAGCAATTGTAGGATTCTTAATGAAAACTGCAGCTCCTTCCTGAAGTAAGTTCCTAAATTTAGGAACCCATTTTTGTAGAACATTAGCTTTTATTTTAGTGCCCAAATAACATAAAAATGAAAAATCAATGAGTATTGATGATGTGAAGATCTTAGACAGTTTAGAAAATTATTCAATATCATGTTGACAATACTAAAGCTTGAAATATAAGAATTTACCTGTTCATCCATTAATATCATTTCAATGGAATATATTTCATCCGGGTTTTTAAACACCGGTTGCTTCCACAGTCTAACAATTTGGACCTTGACAGTGAAATCATCCTTCTGTATGTCAAGATCTTCAAGGAATGTAATATTGTTAACATCCATTAATCTGTAGAAGGAAAAACATGTATTAATTAATGAAAATTTTGATGTAGGTTAACCAAAAGAAGTTATCATACCTCACAGAAGAAAAGCAATTGGTTTTGATTGTTCTGGTTTGAAGTTGAGAAAAGTTGTCAATTTGAGTAGTGAGGAGTACGGAAATTAAATCACAATTTAAACCCACATCCCACGATTAAAAATCCCCGATTTTATGGGAATTATAACCGACAATAACTAAAATTTTGAATTTATGAATTTATGAAAATTCTGAAGTTGTGTATTCTGTCCACGTCCAAGTATGAACATTGTCTACCAGATTTACGGCTTCAGTTATGAATTCAGACGTGCGGAAGTAACTATGTACATTTCAGTCATGAACATTTTAATATGGACTTTAACATTTTTAGTGACTTTCTTAAGGCCTAATTTTCAAAATATTGATTTTCACATGATGAAGGGTAGTTTATAAGATTTATATAGATATTGAAGTCTGATCTGAAGAGAAAGTTTTCCCCCAAACAAGACATAGTAATAAGGATTGCAAATATGGAACAATTTTTTATACGTTCAAATCTGTAGGCTGAGGAAGTCTTCCCACGCCGTCTGTTGTGACTACAGATTTCTACATTTGAGGTTGGTTCCAGATGTAAGATGGTGGTTATAAGTGCGGAAGCACGAAACTGACTCTGTACATTCCAGACTTGAACATTTTGATATGGAGTTTAACAACTTCATGGCTTTCCTAAGTGTTAATTTACAAATATTGACTGTCTCATAACAATAGATAGTGTGTATAAGGTCTATACAGATATGGAAGTATCGGTTGTGGGAAAATTTGTTATCCTACCGGGTCTTCGTAGATCAGATGTACTAAGTGTGAATATGCAAGGATCAGAGTTCCAGGTCTGGGCACATTCAAGCCTATTATTCTGAAATGGAATTCAGAGTTAGTCAGAAACTCTTGGCGTTCAAGACTTACAACATATTCCTTCCTCTAAAATGCAGGTAAGACGGTTGTCAACCACGTGTTCGTATATGATACGACCAACCATTAACTTACATCGTAATGGTAATTAAACATTTTTTTAAAATACGACGGTTTAAATCTATCATGCTTAATGAGTCCAATAAGTACTCTACACTTCCACGTGTCACTCTATAAACAAACTTTCGAGTTCTTTATTCAAATGTAAAACCAAATATTTACTCCCTATATGAAGAAGGGGAGCCTCAACGTAGCACATCAAAGGATAGAGCTCTTTCTCAACACTTAAGTGCAGAGCTATGTGTTGCTCATGCAAATAAGTTTAATGTTAAATCCAAAACAAATAATAATGAAAGTGTATAGCATACTACATTGACCAATTAACATATCATTGTACAAACCAAAATCCAATCACAAAAACAATACCAAATACGAGAGACAATGTAGTTGTACACCAGAACCACGAATATTACTTCTGAAGTCGAGGGATTTTTAACGCTTTTGTAGCCGATCCTTTTTCTTAAATTAGGAAAAAGGAAGAAAAACATAAGAAGTTCTCGATACTCTAACAGAACTTAAAAAGAAGGCAGGTTCTTATGTGAATTAAAAACATAAGTCTAATTGAAGGCAGAGGTTAAAAATAACCTTTGTTTTACATTAACTTTTCAGAGAGTACAATACGAGTGAAACGAAAGTACAATGCATGAAAGTTAAAAAAAATGCTAGGACAAGAAGGTCTATATGTTTTCAAGTCTGATGAACCTCTTAAGAAGTTCTCGACACTCCAACAGATTACAGATTGATCTTAGAATAATTCTGGCTCCTTCTCTTGCTCGAGGGGTGGTATCTTTGCTTCATGTAAGATGATCTCTACGATAATTGACATAGAAGACAACCTTTGTACATAATAGACTTAGCTCTTAAGTAAGAGCCCTGTCTCTCCTCGTGCTACGCAGAACCTCTGATCCTAGTTATGTGCTTCATACAGAACTACGCAGACTATCTGCATGTACCACGGAGCGCACCTGAAGTTGCTTCGATACTCAATGCAGACCTGTATACAGGCTCTGCATGTTCCATGCAGAGTCTCTGTGTAAGTAAGTTTCCTACAGATTTGCAACTCTGCATACAAGGCTTCTAATCTTCCAAGTAGGTTGAAGAACAACCCTGCATACTATAGAGCTCTATATAGTGAGTCTGAATATCTGCATGCAGTATACAGAGGTCGTGTAATAAATCAATGAAGGACTACAAGGATTCAGATTAATGCCCATCTGATCATGTACAACCTGTTATTCATCTGCCCAGAACCTCTTCGTCCAAAAATAGTTAAATACTTACGAGCAGATATAATTTTCATGAACATGAAAATCAAGCATTACAAAATTATGTAATGCAAATGAGTTTAATATCAAATACAACACAAATAATAACGAAAACGTGTATCATATCATAAGCACGAATGCAAAAATCATTGTCTAAACTAAAATTCAACCACCAACACAATAGCAAATACGAGTTTTAATGTAATTGTTCATCAAAAGCAACAATATTACTTTTCAACTTTAGGAATCTTTAATGTTTTTATAGCCGATCCTTTTCCTTCCTGATCGGCATCAGACCAACATTCAAAAAGCCGCTTTCCATCAACTTCTTTCCCAAGCCTTCTGTCATACAACTTCTCTTCTGATTCTAAATTGTTATCTGGAAGAGTCACCATTGTCTCACAAGCAATAACTTCACCAATTATATCTATGTAATCATCAAAAAGTTAACATAACAACATCTAACTTCAATGAGAGTACAATATATAATTTATTTAAACATTACAATCAATGTAAAAGGATTTAATTCACTCACCAACTGCTGTATGTTCTAGGATACTTTTGCATATAAGATTTGCAAATTTCACAATTGATAAACCAAAAATGGAACCCTTAAAATCCCGGCAATCTGATACAGAAGACTTGTAATACAAATTTAACTTGTTTTTATTATCGATTAACTTGTACTTCGTTGCATGTCGAGCAACTTTAAGATTCTTAATGAAAACTGCAGCCCCTTCCTGAAGTAAGTTACTGAACTTAGGAACCCTTTTTTGTAGGACATTTGCTTGTATTTTAGTGCCCTAAAAACATAAAAATGAAAAACCAATGAGTAGTGATGATGTGAAGATCTTAGACAGTTTAGAAAATTATTCAATATCATGCTGACAATACTAAAGCTTGAAAAAGATATAAGAATTTACCTGTTCATCCATTAATATCATTTCAATGGAATATATTTCATCCGGNGTGAGGCATCACTATAGACTACAAAATTCTCACTACCTTCAGGTAGGGCAAGAATTGGTGCATGCGTCAAACAATATTTCAGAGTCTGAAATGCCTTCTCCTAGTCTTCGGTCCACACAAACTTTACATCTTTACAGGTAAGGGAAGTGAGAGGGACATCAATCTTAGAGAAATCCCGAATAAAACATCGATAATATCCTGCTAGACCGAGAAAACTCCGAATCTCTGAAGCATTTTTGGGTTGTTCCCATTTCTGAACTGCTTCAATCTTAGCAGGATCCACGGAGATACCACTATTGGACACGGTATGTCCCAAGAATTGTATCTGACGTAGCCAGAATTCACATTTCGAAAATTTTGCATAGAGCCGCTCTCTTCTCAATAATTCCAACATCTGTCGAAGATGTGTTGCGTGCTCAGCCTCCGATTTCGAGTACACAAGGATGTCATCAATGAATACAATGACGGACTTATCAAGCATAGGATGACATACTCGATTCATTAAATCCATAAACGCAGCTGGGGCATTCGTGAGACCAAAAGGCATCACCAGAAATTCATAATGCCCATATCTCGTACGRAAAGCAGTCTTAGGTACATCCTCCTCTCGTACCTTTAGCTGGTGATAACCTGATCTGAGATCAATCTTGGAGAAGAACCTTRCACCTTGAAKTTGATCAAACAAATCATCAATACGAGGTAACGGGTACTTATTCTTAATCGTTACCTTATTCAACTCACGATAATCAATGCACATCCGGAAAGATCTGTCTTTCTTCTTGACAAACAACACCGGAGCACACCATGGTGAAGTGCTCGGTCGTATTAAATCTTTATCCAATAGCTCTTGTAGTTGCTTCATCATTTCTTTCATCTCTGGGGGTGCGAGACGATRAGGAGTYTTCGCTATCGGTGCTGCACCCGGTATCAAATCGATTCTAAACTCCACTTGCCTGTCTGGTGGCAATCCAGGCAAGTCTTCTGGAAACACATCCGGTATTCACGTACTATTGGTACATTGTCCANTCAATATCATGCTGACAATACTAAAGCTTGAAAAAGATATAAGAATTTACCTGTTCATCCATTAATATCATTTCAATGGAATATATTTCATCCGGAGTTTTAAACATCGGTTGCTTCCACAGTTTAACAATTCGGACCTTCACAGTGAAATCATCCTTCTGTATTTCAAGATATTCAATGAATGTAACATTGTTATTAGCCATTAGTCTGTAGAAGGAAAAACATGTATTAATTAATGAAGCCTTTTCTCCTAAGGCGCCTTCAATGCCTTGTGAAAATGTAGGCCTTGAAGGACTTCCATCATGTCCTTGATAGCCCTCAAGTGAGGAACTATCTCCAGATGTTGCGACAACTTCTTCTTCTTCCTCGGCTTCAGAGGCTGGGTAAGAGAAGTAAGTGTGTTTCCCCTTCGCTAGAACAAGTATCGAAGGGGTTTGTGGTGCACGAAAGGGAGATCGCTCTGAGCGATCTTGGGGTTCATCAACGGCAGAAGCAACACATGCTTCTGGGTGTGTAGGTGGTACTATCGAGCCATGAGGCGATGTGGCTCTTATGTCTTCATCGCCTCTCTGTTAGGAGAGGGGCGATGGAAATTGAGGTTCCTCAGGTAAATCATCTCCAGAGGCCCGAAGAATGGCCTCTGGATGGCTGGCTGGTTGTGGGATTGGACTGGGTGGTCCTTGTTCGATACCCCTTTGGCCTTGATTGCCAGGGTAGATGTGGTGGTTGCCCTTTGGGAAGAGGGAGGGGGATTTGTTTGAGTAGGGCCGGGGGATGCACGAGGAGTGTCATCATCATCATCATCATCCAATGAAGATGCCTCCTGTGCTCCCTCGCTTGTTTTTGGGGATGGCTCTATTCGCTCTGGGGTAGCTGCCCTTGGTTCATAGGACAGCAGAAAGCATTTGTAGGTTTGTTGGATATCCGATGTCTCAGGTATGACAATGAGCATTGCTCTGGAGACTGGTCTGTTGATGGTATATCCTTCCTTCGAAAGAGTGGGTCGATGGCCATGCATTTTGAAGACGGGGGTGAATGGTTCTTTGGCCGGGAGGTCATGTTTCCTCATCGCATCCCCTATGAAGAGAGCTAGGAAACGAGGAAACAGAACAGAGGTTAAGGGCTTGCCGATTTCCTGGGGCTTGCATTTCTTGACTACTGCCGTGTGGATCTCATTGTATATGAGAAAAGCGAGTCGAGAGGGATGTTGAAGAAGAGTCCGTGCATGATTGTCATGATGTTGATGTTGCCCTGGTCCATCGACCCTAGTTTGTAGGTGAGGGCCCTGTTCAATATGGAAAAGAACATATTCCACATTGGCGGTAAACACTGCCTTTTGAAGTCGGAGGCGTTGCGTAAGTCACGATTGTAACCTAGCATTTGGATGAACCGGAGGATGTCGGAGGTGGTGGGTGGCTCGGCATATTGCTCAATGCTGAGTTCTCGACGGGTGGGAATGCACAGAACTCGAGATACTTTTGCCCGCGAGATCTTGAGCGAGCAAATCATGTCGTTTGGGGTGTCAATGTCCCCCATTATTCCATGGCTCTCAGGGTCGAATTCGCAGGTCTGCTAGTACTGTTAGACGTACTTTAGTGGTATGCCATTGTCAGTGAGGGTCAGTGCTGGTAGAAGGATACAGTTTTTAAAAAATTCGATCATGACGACAAACCTGTCGTCGAACAGGGTGTTTCACAGTTCAATGGCATGGTTGTTGGGCTTCATTGGGAGGAAGACGATTGCGCGGCTGTCGGTGCCGGTGGATTGAACGTGGCTGTCGTTGTTGTTGGACTCGTGTGATGCGGAGGAAGCCATTGCGTAGGAAGTTGCAGGTAAGTTCGTTCGTCAGAGTCTGTTTGCAGGTTTTAGGGAGCGTAAAGAGTAAATGGAGGGTAAAGAAGGGTATTTATAGGTGGGGAGGAGGTGGGGGGTGGGGAATAGGAAAAGGTTTTCTTGATTATTATATTGAAATAATCATGAAAATGGGAGTCGGTTAGGTAAAAGGTTATTTGATTTGGAGATCGTGAGCCGTCTTGATTGTACGTGCCATTAATGTTGGAGGACACGTGACAAGGCGGGGTTAGGGAAGGGAAATTTGAAACGGTTCATAGGGAACAGGCTGTATATGGTGTCAGGCACGTGTGAGGATGACGTATGTATTATTTGAAATAAGAATTTATTCCAAATAATATCTCGTTAAAGATTAATCCAAAAACAATTGAAATTTTAAAATTCCATCTAATTGTAAGATTAATACAAATTACGAAGTTTTGGTCTTCGAAAAACCCATGTTGTATAGTTTTTAGTCACAAAAGCTGCAATTTTGTGTAATATTTAGAAAGTTTTTCAATTTTCATGGGTTTATGGATGAAAGTGATTTTGTCATTGAACCATAGGAGGTCTGGTTGCACATAACCCTTTTGATGGGGAACCAAAGGTATAACATCAGTTACGCTCTTTGAATAAAAGAAACTATTTATCCAAATATATTTTCCATAAAACAATTTCCAAGTAAATACGGGATATATGTTATAAATTTCCACCAAAAGACAAAATAACATAGTCTGCAATAGACGATTCTCAATATTATAAGTCGGATCCATAAAATACAAATATGTCTACTCAAAAGTATTGTATACCTAGATCCAACTCACAACGATACTCGTACAGCAGATCTAGACCGTCTAGTCCTTCACCTGGGCAGCTAACGACTTTCCTGAAAAGAAAGCTCATTCTGAAGGATTAAGCCACAAGGCTTAGTGAGATTATACCAAAGCTTATATTTATATATATTATAAATACAAAGCAAATCATAAACGAAGCAGAACAAAAGAGTCGTTTAATTAAGAATTTGATAAAAAAAATAATCTGATAAAATTATCCAAAACACTGTGCAACCAGAGGGTC